CAGAAAATAACTGGCCCCAGCCTGGCCCCCCTAGTCAAATTGGTCTAGAACCGCCACCTCTGTGTATATATATATATATATACTCACTGGCCACTTTATTAGGTTCACCTTGCTAGTACCGGGTTTGGACCCCCTTTTGCCTTCAGAACTGCCTTGATTCTTTGTGGCATAGACTCAACAAGGTGCTGGAAACCTTCCTTACAGAATTTGGTCCATCTTGACATGATAACATCACGCAGTTGCTGCAGATTGGTCGGCTGCATATCCATGATCCATCTATCGTTCTACCATACCAAAGGTGGTCTATACAGGATTGAAATCTGATGACTGGGGAGGCCATTTGAGTACAGTGAACTCATTGTCATGTTCAAGAAACCAGTTGGAGATCATTTGCGCTTTGTGACATGGCGCGTTATCCTGCTGGAAGTAGCCATCAGAAGATGGGTACAATGTGGTCATAAAGGGATGGACATGGTCAGCAACAATACTCAGGTAGGCTGTGGCGTTTATATGATGCTCAATTGGTACTAAGGGGCTTAAAGTATGCCAAGAAAATATTACCCAAACCATGAACCAACACCACCAGCATGAACCGTTGATAAAACGCAGGACGGATCCATGCTTTCATGTTGTTTACACCAAATTCTGACTCTACTGTCCGAATGTTGCAGCAGAAATCGAGACTCATCAGACCAGGCAACATTTTTCCAATCTTCTATTGTCCAATTGTGGTGAGCCTGTCCAAATTGTAGCCTCAGGTTCCTGTTCCTAGCTGACAGGAGTTGCACCCGGTGTGGTCTTCTGCTGCTGTAGCCCATCTGCTTCAAGGTTCCACGTGCTGTGCTCAGAGAAGGTCTTCTGCATACCTTGGTTGTAATGAGTGGTTATTAGAGTTATTGTTGCCTTTCTGTCATCTTGAACCAGTCTGGCCATTCTCCTCAAGACCTCTGGCATCAACAAGGCATTTAAACCCAGATAACTGCTGCTCACTGGATATTTCCTCTTTTCTGACCATTCTCTGTAAACCCTAGAGATGTTTGTGCGTGAAAATCCCAGTAGATCAGCAGTTTCTGAAATACTCAGACAAGCCTGTCTGGCACCAACAACCATGCCACGTTCAAAGTCACTTAAATCACCTTTCTTCCCCATTCTGATGATCTGTTTGAACTTCACCAGGTCGTCTTCACCATGTCTACATGCCTAAATGCATTGATTTGCTGATTAGATATTTGCGTTAACGAGCAGTTGAACAGGCGTACCTAATAAAGTGGCCAGTGAGTGTATAGAGATAGAGATATGTAAGAGAAGAAAATAGAAGTGCAAATATTAAGGGTCTAATGATTCTAAATTACAAAAGTTCTGATCGATCAGAAATAAGAAAACTTATTTACGAAATGTAAGAATCCTGATTGTCCTTTACAATATTTCTCTATTCTTTATGTTAACAAATCTTTAGGCAAACACATTATATATGCAATAATTAAGATCAGTGTATGGCATGGAATAGTGGCATTTCCATATATATGAAACAGGTTGGCTGTTCCATATATTTGTGAAAATCCCTGATTACTCTACTACTGCCTGTACTACTTGTTGAGCTTTAGTTTAAAACATAAAAAACAGGGTGCATTGTGGCTTAAAGTCATAAGGACCAAACCATTGTCTCATAATGGCCCCCCAATCTAAACAGTCTCGAGAACCAAGCAAGACATAATAAAAAAAACACTTATTTGAATGTTCATATTGCCTTTATTCAAATGTTCAATTACAAACACCCAGAGTACAAAAAACAATTCCATGTGTTCCTCCCCCAAACCAATACAACTCAACTTTCTCATTTATCAGATGTTAACAAAACTTGTATAACTGAATAACATACATAAAAACAGCAAATCTGTTTACCTTAAACATTCAACAGCACACGATACTCACCCATGCATTCAAATTGTGTTGTGATATTACAGCTTTTTTCTGTAATTAGTGGAAACAGGCAGCAATATCATAATTTGTCATTTTTTTCCTATAAAATAGTTAACTTTTCACATAACCTTTACAGAATATTTACCCATCAGTATATTGTTTTTGGTAACAGCCTAAGAATAACCCTAGGAAAATAGCAGGAACAGTGCTGTATCAATCTTCACTACAGCTAACACCACATTAAGCCAAATGATAATTTTCAGTAAGGTCAAATCACACATCAGAATCACACATTAGAAATTAAGAAGCTGTCATTTTAAGTCACCCATAACACATTTTTCAGACTAACTGGCAATGACATTAGCTTAAGCGGTGCAATAAAATCTTTAACATTCCATTAGAAAGCCATTGAAAGGTAAAAATCATGTTTCCATCATGGATAAAACATCGGGACCAGATTCTGGTCGCTTGAAATAGATGGAGGAAAACATAATTACCCATGTAAATGTCATCGAAAATAGTACAACAGCGGTCAGTGAATCAAATGGGGAAAAACATTGAGCTTGATTTGTCCTTAAAGGTGGGGTAGGTAATTTTGGAGAAACCAGCTCGAGTGCGCTAAAATTTGAAAATACACAGCCGGAAAAAATCTGCCACTTCCTTACAGAGCCCCTCCTCCAACACACACGAACGCGCACATGACCAATGAGGGCACGAGATAAGTTTGTGCACAAGATGGAAGACTGACAGGCAGGTAGGCCATCCAGTTATTTTAGCCGGGCCGGCTAAAATGATTGGTCGTGCTTTTTACAGTATTACGGCTTCCACAGATGAAATTTTTTATGGATTTTTTGTCAAAGCACTTAAGATATTCATTGCTATCGGGATGTTAAGAGCATTCCATGGAATATAACAAAAAGTGTATCTCGAGCCGGTTTCTCAAACTTACCTACCCCACCTTTAAACACTTATAAAATGCACTGATATAAATATGCCTATAGGGAAACCGTTCTGTCAATCAGAGCATTTATGTGCATTTAAGTCAAACTTTACATTCACTTATAGTAGCAGCAATATTTAATCAAAATTATGCTTACTAAGAAACTGTACTTTCTCCAACTGAATGGGTGAAGTTCAGGTTAAGAATTGGGTTTTGATTTTTACAAAGTCAAAAAGCTGTTTCAACAGGCTTCGATAATTTCCATGACAACAAAATTAGCACAAAAAAAGGGGACAGAATCCCTCACATCATTCCAAAAATAAAACGGACACACGGTGTCACAGAAGCAAAAACCCCCTGACACTTGAGCAGAGGACACAAGTCACTGATCCTGGTTCAGTGATGAACAGTATGAAGCCATTGCCATCGTAAAGGGCAGATAGGCCAACCGTGAAAGAATGACTGCATGTATGCATTACTGAATGTGTACTACTTTTAGGGATGCTCTGGATTTTACAAACAGAAAAAGAAAAAAAAGAGAAAAGAACTAAATAAGTTATGGGGAAAGAAATAAATGAAATATTGCAGTACTGCAATTTGTCCACTTCTACCAATCAAATGCACACCAAGTTATTCAAATTTAGATTGTGACAGCATGAGACTGGTTAATGAGCTAAGGCATACTCAATATAATTAGGGTTTGAGTAAAATCTTGCACACAAAGAGAAAAATGTGATTCCACATCACATCTAAATTATACAAGGGTAATTTATATGACCCAAGGGAATTCAAAGACTCATACACACTATGGCATACCTCTATGCCCTATTACTATTGTACAACATTAAGTGAGAGGTAGCCCACAGTACCTTGTGCACTGAAACATTTAGAAAACTGTACATCAATTTACACATGGCAGGCTTACTCTAGCAAGCTTGATCTTTGACATAACTCACACATGCTGCACACGCAAGTTCTCAAGGGCAGATCAATCGGGTCAGGAAAAGTTTACACCCAACAGCAGCAATATTACCTGCGGCCGCAGGTTTCTCTGGGTTAGAAGCCATGGTGTTAGACAACATGTCTGTGTTTAGATATTATCAGGGATTAAAGACAAGAAACTATTAGAAGTCACCAGTAATGCCATTACAAACAGCAAAGTAAAAACACATCTGGACAGCTCTTAGTTCACCAAGACCTCCATATGGCTTTTCTTGATTCACTTCTGTTCAGACTCAGTGGCCTTAGACAAAATTATTACCAAGCCTGATATGGAACACGGCTTGCTGCACCGAATTTGCTAAATGTACCAAATAGGATATATTTGTCCTTTTTTCTCCTTTCCTTAATGTTGTTATATCCTGGTTATGGAGGGAAAAAGCCCTTCATCACATTGTTGTCTAGGCGACATTCATATTAGTTATTTCAAGAATATTAAAATCTAATCAAATTCAACAATTATTTAACCTAAAAAGACGAATGCACACTTATCCTGTGTCCTGCACTGCTTTCAGTACACACCAAGTAGGCAGGCTGCATCAATAAGTGGTTTAAAGTAGAATTGTACAGATTAGCTCAAACCACAGTATAATTTTACGGCACAGTCTAAGTGAGGGGGCATTAGGGTAAGTTGTGGTATGGCAGCTTCTGCTGATGAAGATGAGGTGGGTAGGCAAAAGCAACAGCAGCAAGATAATGGATGTTTGGGTCCTGATTTCCCAAAGCATCAGCAAGAGAACGAGTAAGAGATGATATTCAAGTTTGCATATCATGTGTACTAATGGGCCACACTTGCACAAGTACATCAAGTGTTTCGGTTTGACCCCATATCACCCAGATATGATGGCTTTAGTGTGTGCTGTGAGCACGGGGGTCATAACGTTAAACATCACAAAGTGAGGTTAACCACTTGATCAGTACATAACAGGCAGACCAGGTGAACAGAACAAAGGTCCCTTAATACGTTGTACTACCAACTCCTTTTTGAATATGATATTATAATAATCCCTGTATCCTCTTTAAGGCCAAATAGCACAATAGGTAACCTGACACGTTTCTGAGCGGGAACACAGACAAGACAGGTGACCAAAAGCTCAGCCTGCCTAACCGTATGATAACAACTGTAGTTCTGAAAGGCGTGTATCAAAATAGTTGTTTTATTTTTATATTTAGTTTTCCTTTCTAAAATGTTTTACATTTGAACACACAAAATGCCTACGTTACAGTCAGAAGCATGAGCTTTCAATCAGAGCCTTGGTGTAATAGAATGCAAGCATTAGGCCCAGCAGCACATGGCATTAACACATCCGGATGAATTTTGACACCTGACAATAAAATGCATCACTGGGAATGCACAGATCAACCCAGTCTTTTTCTTTTTTGCCAAAACAACATTTTACAGGCTTGTTAAATCCTCATTATTGCAGGATCCTTCAAGATTTAAAACAGTAAACACATTTGTCTCTGCATTACTCCTGAGCACGGTCGAAATATTTGTGTTAATGTCAGGTGGTGTGGGGGATTTACCTTCAGATCTGCCCTGTCTTTGTTCGTCTCTGTACAGTGATATCACATGGACATAACGTCATACAGAGATGTGGATATCCTTCCTATCCTTATTTATACATAAAACAGACAAACTTTCAGATTGACCCCAACGCCCAGCTACAGGAGGCCTTACAGAGGCTGAGACAAAGAGTAGGGATAGGTCTTAACTCTGACCAGTTGTGTCTTTGTGTGAAATCATGCAAGGCCCTTTATTCCTTACACCATGACAGAAGATGGCATTTAGCCCCACTGGGATGGAAAAAAGGCTTCAATGATTCCTTTCCATCTATTAAGAATGGGTTTCACTAACTACACAGTCAGTCAGAGGCATCCAAACCCTCACTGATCCTATATCACACTTCCATGAACGTAATCTGAATTTATGAGCTAATGCTAGCTGCACAGAAGATCATCCAGGCCAAGAGAGGGCATTTTATCAAAGTCACATGCGTCAAACAAGTCGCTGATTCCCTGGTCATCTCCCAAACCTAAAAGGTAGTCGTCCTGGTCCAGAAGAGGAGGCCCGAGGTTTAAGAAAGGCCCCAGGGACGCTGGGATCTGGTCTTCTGTCTGCTGGAGGAGACTGGTGTAAGGGGACGAGATGGGGGACAGAGTGGTGACGGAGACTGCCGAGGAAGAAGAAGGTGGAGCTAGGGAGGCGATTGAAGAAGTGGTCGTGCAGGTTGGACCTGTGTGAGAAAATGGAGTCATTATCTCTGCATACCCAAGGGACCATAAGAAGTCCTTTATATAATGGTGTTTGCTGCACTAGGGTACACTATTTTATTTATTTATTTGAATCCCAAGCGCCAGTGAATCAGGGCTTAAACCAAAAGTTACATCTATCACCAGCTGTGACATTTTCCACAACATGGGAAGTAAGCTTCTTAAAATGATGTATGTGATAAACATAACAACATTTCTCTTGTCACAAAGTGGCAGTTGCAAAAGATCCTTGCAGAAAACTTTTTACAGGATCTAAGATGCTTTAGAAATTGTCACAGACTGTTTTGAGTAGAAATATATAAAATGATTTAGTTGTATATAAATACATTTCATAATCATAAATTATATATCTTCAAAGAGAAAAGGAAGATCAATAAAGTATATTTGCATAAACAATTGCTGCACATCCCTGTGTATCTGAGACAAACCTTGAAGGACTTTGAGGAAAGGCGAGTTCCCATTGATGTCCGTGCTGCCGTTTCTTACAGGACTCCTAGGGTCATTTTCCTCATCTGGACACAGAAGGACGTCTATGGGACCCTTAGTGCTGGTCAGATGGATGGATAAACTCTGGAGGATAAAAAAATAAAGAGTGTTTCAATGAACTTAAAACAAGCTACTCCTTTTGCATTTCTCCTCAACTTGTAAAAGTTTTACCAATGTTTATATACACAAGTACGAAGATGCAATTTATAAAACTGCAGGAAAAACACACTAATTGTTTGCGAACATACATACAATAAAATATTCTGGTTCATACAACATTGCAAATGCCTTTCGGCGTAGAATTCCCTTTCCTAAATTCCAAATCAACTTGGAATTGTGCACACATGACTCAGCCTCCTATCACCCCCCGTAACATTCCCTCACATGCGCAGACTAACCGTTAACGTTCAATGCTAGGCCCCTCAAATGTTTTAACATAGTAATAAGCCGGCTGATTAATGGTTGTTTACGTGAATTACAACAAGGAAAGAAGTTTTCATGATGCATAAATAGAGGTGGTGTGGCCGTGAACAGTTGTTCCTTCCTAACAATTGCCTAACTGTGTTGTAAACCTCATTCAGACTAGATTATCAATACAGATAAGAATATCACAGACCCCATGTAAGACTTAATTATTCATAGTATATTCTGGGCAAGGTAAGAAGTCAATTTCCCCAAAAGTTCAACTGTCCCTTTAAGGGGAAATACAAGTCATAGGTCAGATAACAAGTGAGAAAGAAACAGAAGTTAAGTCAAGACAACAATGACAGACTGGTGTTTTTTGGTGTGTGAACATACCTCATCAGGGTCTGGTACTTCTAGTTTGGTGTCTGTGGGCGCTTTGACGACAATAACAGTCTGGTCTCTGAGGTTTCCAAGCTGTTTGATGTCTTGGTATGTTACATAGGCATATGTGGAGAAAAGGTTAAAGAAATAATGCTATAATGTCAGTACATGTTAATACTTCACAAAGATTGTTATCTAATTACAGAGTTGGAATATGAAGCCTTGCACATCTGTTTAGGTTCTGGTCTACTTTTAAACTGATTTGAAAACAACCTCAGACAAAGAATTAAGCCTGGTTTACCTGCAGATGTATGAGAACATAGTTACAGGAGGTTTAACCACTAAAAAAAGTAAGAAGCTAAAACTTTTGAATACCTGTCAACAAACAATAAAAGGATATTTCTGGTTGCTTTGCAAGTCGCTCATGTGTCTCATATCCATGCTACATCTCTGGATGAGTTGCTCGAGCCTCTGCTCTTCTTCTGCCAGCGCGGAAACTTCTGTCGTTAGGATCTGTCTCTGGCTCAGAGACCCCTCTACCTCCAACAGACTACACCCCCTGCAAGAGAGAGAAAATAGTGAATTAAAAAGAGATTTAGTGCTAGTTCACTTGCTGATATATGACTCATTACGTACATACTGGTTTTTAACATTTGGTACAACAGATTGAACAGTGAAAAGAAAGCATTTTACACCAGAGATTGGTGTTAGAATATGTGTGCAATATTTTTTCTGCACGCTGATACTGCAGAGGGTATAACTCGGAAGCACAGAATTGTATTTTCAACAGATACAAATATCCCAAGGGTTCCCCTTTTTAACCTATAAATATCCTCTTTAAGGCACAAGTGGAGTAAAAATAACAACAATGAAGAAGGTCAGTGACAAAAATGTTTGGTAAAAGTAGACGGAAATATGTTGGATGTTTAAAGCTTTTTGAGACATTTTCAAATAGGTTTTCTCTGGACCTTTCTTAGTTAGGTGTCTGTTATGACTTTCATTTATTTTAGCAAACTCCAAGTCTAGGCACCACATCATATCCCAGACATGAACAAATATGGGCCTTATTTAAAAAGGAAACGGAAACAGTATACCATGATAAAACCAACAGAAGGATTGATCACTGTATGCCCGGTAAGCACAGAGGCTTAATGTCTGTTCCTAAACTTATGTGCTCTTAGTTATTACTGAACAAATTAGGGTGTAATTACATTTTCAGGGTAGAGTCTAGAACATTCAGGTATCCTAATACTTTGATGTGGCAACAGTTTGCAAGCAGCCACCTGCCTGTCTGTGCTCTACAGGCCAAGGAACACTTTAAAACCTTTTTATACGTCAACATTTATGGTAACACTTTTGCCGCACCAACCCAAGAGACTCAAACGTTTTTTGAGACTAAACTAAGTTTGATTCAGGTCTATAAGATGTCTCCGCTTTTCAATATTTGTTTGTGACGCTAATTAAAGTCCAGAGTTGCACACAGATCTCCACGGCAAAGTAGACAAGTCTCCATTTCGGCAATTTATTTGAGCCATGTTAATCATCAGAAATTGAGATTAGTCTTCTATACTATGTACGTAAGATCTTTGTGGGTGCTACCTGTTTACTATTCAACGCTGGAACTTTCAAAAGTTTCCAACTCTACAACAATTAGATAACTCAAAAGATGGAGAAGGTAGAGACACAGAGAAACCAAAATACAAGAATGGGTTCAAATATGTAAGAAAAGAACCATAGACAAAACATCCTATTAAAAAGAGTGAGACAGAGGGACCACTCACATCCACTGAATGTTGTTCTTTGATTTCTTCTTGATGAGGTGAATGCCTTCTAGTACATTGGTGATATCATACAGCCGCCTCTTCTGTACCTAAATGAAGAGGATTATGGTATCATTAGTAACTCATTCAGTGGTGAATATTACTGTGTAAAATACCAAATGTAGCAATAACAACACAGAAATCCACAACTTTTTCAACTATCTAAGCAGATATATTCACTTGAGATGACCCTGATACATTTTCTTGTCCCAATCTTATTTCTTGGTACTGATGCTTAATATTCTTCACAATTTTTGGCAGCCTCACTGAACAGTATTTAGGAGAAACACATTAGCTGTTAGGTAGATTCTCTTTACATAATTACGAATCTTATGTCTGAGCCTTTTCTGTTGGGATATGAAAATACCTGTAAAGTTTCAGCGGCGAGGTTGAGGTCCAAGACGCCATCAGAAGACTGGGCAAGAAGGTCCACAAACTTCTTTGTCAACAGGCCCAGAGAGGTGTCGTACCGAGTCTTCTCTGGTGGAGACTTTGGGGCTATGGTAGAGGGAAAAAAGAAATAATGGAGACAGGACAATTAGTACAGCATTAGAAATGGTAAACTTATTTGGAAGGAACTTGTAATAATACATTCCCTAATAAACAATTATATTTGGAAGGAGGAAGCAAAATCTAATGAGACTCCTCTCATCACCCGACTACAGGACACAAAACTAAAAACAAAGAAACTTCTTCATTTTTTTTATATGTATGCATTTTACATTTCAGCTCCACTATCTGTTGTTCAGGGAAAAATAAAAGGATTAATATAAGAATTGTTATGACAAAACTAATTTTAAAAACTACTACTTTACTAAAGAACTATGAAACGATGGTGTATTCCTAAAAAATGAAGCGTTGAAGCTACTGCAACGCCCACAGCAATAAGGCAATTATTTGATTGTGTGTACTGTTTTAATGCTTATTACTCTCATACATTTACTATGAAATTACTCTCGTCAAGGGCTGGGTTAAACTGTTCTTAGAGTGAGAATAAAGTGGGTATTTAACCATTGATGAGTATGTCTATCAGATCACACTGTCCAGTTTGTTGCGCTGAATGAGAACCTGAGTTGGACCTTAAACAGCATGGACACGGTCCTGTGTATGGAACTTTGTGACAGAATGACCCTGAAACTGTGTTATAAAATTCAAGGTGACATGTACCAACACAATGGGAGGGGGTTTCTTACTTCTGGGTGTTTTTAGCCGTGGCCCATTGGCCACCGCGGCCCCCCCTCGGGCTCTAGGAGTCCTGGTTGGTTCTGACTGGTACTGGTGGTCTGAATCATCGAGCGCCAACCGCCTCTTTGCCTAGGGACAAAAATATATATTTTAACAGCACATAGGGCAGGTTTGGTCCTTTGGCAGGCATCTTATCTTCACGGAAACCAGAAATGATATGCGTTGCTAAATCTGTCATTACTTTGATCTGATGAGTCAGTTATCTTCAGCACTCTAAAGCTATCACGGTAAATAAACTAATGTTTTGTTTTTGTAAACAAAGTTGATACAACAAAACTTAATTCTTATTTTGACCACTTATTTTTATGTCCCAGGAGATGTCCAAAAGATTGTCATAAAGCAGTTAAAAGACAACATTATTTTGTGAAAATGCAAGTGTAACATGGAGAAATTATGTTTATGATGTTGAGCAAACCCAGTGGTTTTTAATTCTTCTTTTCTGATCGCATTGGCCAAGACAAACACTAATAGCTTAAGAGTGAGTCACATACATGGGTATGATCACATAGCTGCACAGTAATGCCAAAGGAAGCCAATACAAGTATAAAGACAAAAAGGAGATAGCAAAATAAACCCATTGACTTCAATATTTTTACAAGCTGGTTACTGTCAAAGAACATAAAAACAAGTAATTTTCTGCACCACATTAACCCATTAGGGAAAACCCAAAAAATATGCAGTTTTTGAAGAACAGTTGGGGTATAATCCATTGTTTTATTAACCTAAATCCACATTCATCTTTGCCAAAATTAAAGGTTTCCAATGTCCAAGCCATCAGAATCAATTTCTTCTTTTGTAGTACAGGTGTCACCTGACAAACGTTAGGTACATTCATCACTGTGTGTGTTTTAGCAATAGTAGACATTTTAATGTCTATCTCGTCACCACTGTAGTATTTATAACCATGGTTAGGCTCATTTAGACTGTGTTCAATATTCCAGGTAATTTATACGGCAAAAGCTGAATTGACTATCATAACCATTTCTCTAACACAAGTTTTTCCAGGTCTTTTCTTTCATCACCCTAAATTGGAATTCAAGTATGTTTTACTGTGACATGACAGCTTAGTGAATAGTCTCTTCAACCAGGGAACCCTTGGACTTCCATGTTGGCCATAATCTATCCTGTTCAAGTGTCTGAGCAACACACTAGTACCCGGGTGCTGGTCTACCCCTTGAACCTATGTGGAAGTATTAAATTAACAATCATATTTTGAGTTCAAGTATAGTCAACCTCATATTGAATACTTACTTCATCTTGCCCAAGTCTGAGAAGGAATAATATGCCCTCTGTTGACAGTCAAAATGTCAGCCATTTTATATCAGCAGCTCCCCTCACCCCCTGCCTGGTCATAGCTAAAGCTTGAGATACAGAGTGTGGTTTAGTTCTTTAAAGATGAATAGCCAGGAACAAACCAAAACCCTGAATGCTGCTTAAACTATTTAGTGTGGGTTGTGCAGATTGAGAACACAGGAAACGTGCAATCAGTTCTACAGCAACAAACTCGAGTTTCACTTTACTTGGCATACAAATAAGTGTTACACTTTATTTACAAAAAGCAGGACATGAAGCACTTGTGCAAAAACAAAGTCAAGGCCCACATCGTGTTATGTTGTCCTTTGATAATCAATACTGCTACTAGCCTTGAAAGCTAACACGTTTGAGAGCTTCATCCAAGTTGGCTTGCATCTTCAGAGACGACTGGGCGAAATGTCTATCGAGTAGTTTTAAATTGAACTGAAGCTTTAGCCAAGTTTAATCCCATTTATTTCCAAAGTTTAGCGCCTCGTGTCCTGTCAGAAAGCTAACATTTAGCTAACTAAAAGCCAAGCAGCCCAACAATCCCCCAACCCCCAAATTAGGGCACCAACAGCAGCCACTAGGCCATCGCTAACGTTACTCATCTCCTACCAATATTTCCATCTGGCTGCAAGGGTGAAGCGGACTCAAAAGCACCATGAAGTTAGCATAGCACGACTTGTAAACGTTTCTGTATATGTATAACAAACTTAAACTCGACGTGTGCTTTATAACAGTCAACATAACACATAACTAACCCACTTGGGCAACTTAGCTAGCGGTAGTTAGTTAGCCACCTCGCTAGGTTATGGCAATGCTCTGGCTAAGCAGCTAATGTTAGCTGGCCGAACAACAAGCTCGGCTAGCCTAGCAAGCTAACATTTTGTCGTGTTTGTGGCTAGTTGTAGCAAGCCTTATATGTTAAAACGAGCTGTATAGATTATTACCGGCGGTCTCCCCAGAGCGGGTCGTTGTCCTGCTCCGTTTGCTGCAGCTTGTTGTGGAGTTGTGTAAATGTTGTTTATCGAAGGATCCAATAAACACACATTTGATGTCTGTGTAACGTTGCAAGGCGGTGGGGTGGTTATTATTTGGATATAGGTAGCGTTGGCTTGACTGGGGTGTAAACGATCCGTGAGAGTTGTTAAAATTATATTATTGTCCAAATGAGAGCCCCCAACCCCCGCTAAAATCACTTTGTCCGGAGCCGAGGAGATCCCTCTTCTCATCTTGCGTATTCAGGGTAACCCCTTTCTTGTCTCTGTACTTTCAAGCCCGTATATCTGCTAATCCTCCGCAATAGTTACACAAATAATCAGACCGAAGTAAAGATGAAAGTCTGATTGATCGACTTTTGTAAAGTATTTTTCCTTAAGATGGTGCATTTAGGCAGATGCAACGGATTAAAAAGTAGCACAACTCTCGGTTCCCCCGTCTAGAAATGGCTTCAGGAAACGGCCTGATGAATGAAGGGATACGGTTTACGCGCTCAAGAGCCCTCCCGCGAAACTCAGATTTCCCGGGAAATTTTTAAACAGAATGTACATGTCAGACGCTATTGGTTCTTCAGAGAGGAGTCCCCACCCACATTACAGCCGGATCGGCCAATGACAGCTCAATATCTTGCGCGCCACGTGTTCATTGGCAGTTGTAAACAGGCAGCGTCACCTGTCACGCCTTGTGTGTTCCCTGACAGGACGCTAAGTGGCGCAAGCGACCAATTGTGCTGACGAGACAGGGCTGGAGGGATATTTTCAGCCCGTGGTGATCGGCACGGCACCCTTTCTCAACTCGATTCAGAGTGACACAATTATCTTAGGGCATTAAATACTGACCTCTTAGGTTGCTGCCATTGCATTTAATTATATATGAAAGCCTAACATTATTTGCTAAACAAGTGTGAACAATACAAGATGTTTGTTTCTGGTCAAGTTGTCAAATGTTCAGCATAGAACATATCAAGTGCATTGTTGAACTTAAGCAAACGTAACTTGTGTGTAAGAATAGCTTTGACAATAAATATCACATTAACTCATCAGAAGGGAACCTTAGTCCTGATAGGTATTTTATTGTATTTAAATGTTTTACATTGGAAGAGTCGGCCTGCAGGGACCTGGTCAAACTGTATAGAAGACTCACAAAAAGCAATATATAAAAGCATCTGTGTTTTTATTAACTAAACGTTACCAAACAACTGACAATACAATATATATAACCCATCAATTGAATAAAGAAACTGAACTGTTATTTCAAAAGGTATAGGTCTTTACCAGGATGTTTTTGTAAATGATCCTGACCTCTGACCTCACAGCAAGAGGAGATACAAACTCATTGCAATCTATTCAATGCCACATCAATTGTTCATTTTTAGGAAAGGCTAACATTCTATTCTGTTTGTATGTGGTGCCTCACTTTAAATGTCATCCTTGAACAAGAGCTCATATTTCATGGCAGATACCGACAAAGCTTGACATTCTGGATATAACAACGACTGCACAATAATGAATACATATTATTTCCCACACTGGCCATGCAAGCCGTGGCATGGCCTCATATGAAAAGAAAGGTCAGTACTACAGATGACCTTTATACCAATATCATTTGCTCATTTGCTTGTAAATGTGTCATACTGCTGAGAGCTAGCTACTAAACCAACTGTCAATGTGCTACATGTAATCACAATGACAATAAAGAACTATTATATTCTTACTTTCTCCAAACACACATACTGCTTCATAAGATATAGGCTACCTCATATCTAATGTTTTATAAACCAATAGATGATTTATCATTCTTTTTTTTCGGAATGTGAAAGATTCTCCCCTGTGGCATCACTTGTATACTACTTTAGGTAAACACAAGTTAAAACAGAGCACAACAAATGATAAGTATTGTCTTTGAATAAACTATCCAAACACTTGTTCATTATTTCTTGATCTTTTTAATGAGATGGCCTATTTTTCTCTCATCATGAGCCCGTAAATAAGGGCGGGGGAAATAGCCACTGCTCCAACTTTGTCATCAAATATTGATCCAAACTAAAGAGCGAGAGCCTGAATAACGCCGGAAGTAGTATAACATGACTTTCAAAGGCATATATTTAACAAAGTACTATAAACGCTGCCTACAACAATCGGCAGATGGTTCCCTTTAAACACATTTCACCAACGATGCAGTTTATGTCATTTTTAGAGAAAAACACAATAGGCTACTCTTCCACTTTTAAAGGGAGGGGGGTTCCTACACAAAACCAAATATGCGTGATAATTATAATTCAAACGTTGCATTTTGAGGTGGAATGTCTATGAGTAGAGTGTGGGATAAAACAAGTGCGCAGAACCGGTTTATTCCTGCAGAAAAATACTGTAGGCTAAACCTGAATGTTGTTATTTATTTCCAACGTTCGTCGACAAGGCTTTTATTTTGAAAGCAATGACCGGAAGTTTTTATTATTATTGTTTGACTTGACTGGTACTGAGTCTGAGGGAGAGCCGGGAGTGTCACTCTGTGGACTTGGCTGACTTGTTGCGAGCCTTTCGGGCAAACAATGTATTTTTGTGACATAAAATAGTAAGTAGTTTGCTAAACAACATAGAAAAAGTCGATAACATAGAGGCTTCGTAACAGAAAAAAACACGTAGGATGGGCGAGGGCGAGGACACCGGGTTTAAAACTACTGGCTCCAAGTGGCTGATGCCTGTCAGTGAACTCTTGGGCTTTCCTCTGGATCAGGTAAGAGTAGGCTACCTGTCCATAAATAACAGTTATTTTTAGAGTCAGAGTTAACATTTCAAAATGTCCAAATATATGTTGTGAATAAAAGTATGTGTTACTGGTCTATCAATTAACGTCGTGTCACTTGGTAGAGAGACTGGCAGTAATTCCTCATCAGTGACGCCCACATCGGAGTTTATTTGCAATGCTGGAGATAATGATTTTACAAACAAAAGACCTGCATGGCAAAGTTTACAAAAATAAATAAGCTTCTTAACCTTTATCTTCGACTATTTGATATTTTACAAATCACAGCAGAAATATACGTCCTTATAGTATTGATACACTACTAATGAGGAGGATGAAACAACATTACAATCCTTGCATTATGCTGTTCCCACAGGAGTTTTCTGTCAGCTATTAAAAACAAGATATATTTGTTGATTTTTTTATGAGCCTGTGTAAATGCACAAACTAGTATCTATGTCTCCCACACAGGTGAATTTTCTGGCGTGCCAGCTGTTTGCCCTGGCTGCTGCCTTCTGGTTTCGTCTCTACCTCAGTCCTAGCCATGCCAATCCCCTGGTCAGGCACGCTGTGGCCACTCTTCTTGGCATTGTCTTTCTCATCTTCTGCTTTGGATGGTACTGTCAGAGTACTGCTCACATACTGTAGTACTCCATTCAACTTCTCTCATGATTACAAATATGTTTTTAGTAAAAAATAGCTGTTGATCTCTGAGTTCTCAACTATATTTGTCTATTATCTTTTTACATTTCTGACAAATGAACACTGTGTCCAGTGTGTTGGGTCACATGCTTATAATTATAAGAGGGCACTCAGGCTTTTGACAGTAATGGTGCTAAGAAAGAAGATATACAGGAGAAATGGCTGTTGTGGCATTTGACTAGGGGAAATGTATCTAGGCTTCACTGACGCACACTGCATCCTGTCACAGACATATAAAACACCTATAATGATGCACATGTTCTAATTGTGTGTCCTTGTCTGCAGGTACTCAGCTCACATCCTGACAGTGGTGGTTGGAAGCTACTTGATTATCATCAACGCTGACATCAACAATGTGCACAGGCAAGTGTTGGTCTTCATATTTCATAGAAACATTCACATTGAAGTCTGGGTCATTTAAGTTATTGAGTCAAAAAGGTTAGAATTTAAAATTGATCATGAAATGTAACTGTGGAATTTATGACATGTGAACAAATCAAATATAAGGTGGAATAAAGCTTATTCTTTACTGCCCAGTTAAATCAATCAAAGCTCTTTTGCCCAGTTCAGACAGTTTGTTTAGTCTGAACAACCGTTACTGTATACCTGATTGGTTTGGTTTGACATACACAAACCTGTTCTTCTTTAGAAATGTTGCTGCAAAGGTCTTAGCTAGACCAGACAGACTGAGAGGTGGATGATATATCTGCTATCTCATTTCCAGGGATACTGGTGCAGTACTAGTTATAGTTGTCGTCAGGTCAAACTTGTCGGACAAGATCAACCTGGAGTTTATTAACGTCATTTGGTAGAGTGAGCAGATGGCTCAGTCCAGATCGTGGTGATTTGATTATATTAAACATTATTTTGTAATAATAAGGCAGTATTGACAGTTCAACCTGTAAAACCAAAGTTTGTTGTTGTTGCTCACCCCTTGGAATTCAATAATTAATTTACTCCCTCCCACTAATTTCCAACACACACTGCAGTGCAATGCACCCAGCCCCATTATCTCCCTGTTAAAATGTGGCCTTTACTCAAATACTGTTGATGAAAGAAACTAATGTAGAACATGTCAGATAAGAACACACACACACACCACCCAGACCAGCCTGTTTGGAAACAGCTGGACTGTGTGTGTGTGTGTGTGTGTGTGTGTGTGTGTGTGTGTGTGTGTGTGTGTGTGTGTGTGTGTGTGTGTGTGTGTGTGTGTGTGTGTGTGTGTGTGTGTGTGTGTGTGTGTGTGTGTGTGTGTGTGTGTGTGTGTGTGTGTGTGTGTGTGTGTGTGTGTGTGTGTGTGTGTGTGTGTGTGTGTATATACTGTATATGTGTGTGTTCATATATTTTATCTTCATATTTGGTTGTGTGTTAGCTTGAAACAACTTGGCTCAAGTGTATCATTGTAGTTTATTTTTTTGTTCTGAATGGAACAACACAAACAAAATGTTGGTTTGGTAGTCCTGGTATTTACGAGATTACCTGCAGGGAAATTAAGACAAAACCTGTTGTTCTATACATGTGGAAACAAAACACATTGTAAACTGTGTTAAAGCTGCTTTTTCAACAAGCCTACCACATAACAAACCTCTTGATCAACAACACAGGGTGAGGAGGTTATTCTGATTGGAGCACGACAAACTCAGGAAACTTGAGGGCACGCCTACAAACCTGTGTACTAATTGTGATATGTTAAAGGCTAATACTGTGTTGAACATTTAACATCTCAATGACTTCAATTAATTTGAGCTTAAACCACACGTTTCAGGTCAGGTCAGTTCATATGTTGTCATGCTCTCAAGAAGCAGCTTCTCTCATAAGTACCAAAACAGTATATTACAATTTTTCTACTTCAATTGCATGTTGTCGCTTACATTTTAAAAGTCACCAATTTCACTGGACATTATAAGAAAAATCAGAAAATACTGAAAGAGAGCCTCTTACCAGGGTATTTTGGCTAAAATGCTACAAATTCCATAATCATCTCTGAGTAATAGTTTAGTAATAAACACATGTCCTCATTAACCGAGCATGGCAGCCCTACTTGAATAGTAGGTATCTTTCTCCAGAGAATGTGAATTGTCTTTTGTCTGATTGAGTTTTTTTCATTCCCCCACACACAGGTATTCCATGGTGACAGCTATGGGCTACTTGACAGTGTGCCAAGTGAGCAGAGTCTTCATCTATAACTATGGAGTTTTGTCCACTGACTTCTCTGGGTAAGAAAGAAAATCCTTTGATTGTCCCGTCTCTTTTCCTCTCCCTGTGCCACACCTTGTTGATGATGTTGATAGTCATTTCAGTTTTAAATCTGCTCCAGTGTTATCAGTTCCAAACCATGTTGTACTTGCTTACATGTTGGCCGGTGCCACAGCCTTGTGTAAATACAACAGTGCTGATTAAAAAGCAGCAGTGTGACATTGCCCAACCAGGTGGAGTTAAGGTTCTCCCTGCATCCCGGCAACTATGGTTGTGTTCGAAAAAAAGCTGCTTCTTAAGGAGAGAGCAGTTGTAGTATCAGTAGGATGTTTGTTTTTATTTGAAGGATTCCTTGCATTGCATTTAGACTCTGTAAGGATCATAAAGAAGAGCTAAAAGGAAACGTAGGGAAGCAGGAGAGGATTTCCTATTACACAAGATGCTCATTGCTCATTAGTTCAGAAATGGAAGATTGTGTCATCATGTGATGACTAATGTGTAATTACATGTCATTATATAGTTACTTTCACACTGATGGCTTGTGGTTGCTTTGATAAAGAGGGTTAAACAGTATATGCATCCCAGCATTCAGAAAAACAGACCAATATTGAACTTAACAATGTATGTGTCTGTCAGGATATTGCCTGACCTGATAGTGTTTTCTGTGGGCAGTCAGTCTTTGGTTAACGGTCACAGAGTCTGCCGGCTACAGGGGTGGAGAGAGTTGCACAGAGTCGCTGGAAACCTGAAAATGTTTCTCTACTGCCAGCTGCCATTCTGCTGGCACTGCCAGCCGCTCGGCCTCTCTCTAACTCAGTTTTCCATGCTGTCCACACAATGCAGCCCACTATGTGTGTGTGAGAATGTGTGTGTGTGTGTGTGAGAGAGAGAGAGAGAGAGAGAGAGAGAGAGAGAGAGGAGAGAGAGAACTGGGTTGTTGTTAGCATCTGGTGCTAGCTCGGAGCTAACGGAGATTAGAAGCTGTTTCAACAATAAGGAGAGGGAGAGTCCGCTCCTGTCGGACTGAGAGAGATAACGTCAGCTCAGGGAGGTAAAGGACTCTCTGAGTGATTAGGTTGTAAACTTTAGTCTAGTTATCTCAGTGGGTCTCAAACGGTTTGGTCATCTATGTAAACAAATATTTCCATCTATGTAATATATAGTTGTATATAAAATAAGTTAAGAAATCCTTCCAATGTGTACTATAGGTCAGTACAAAAATAAAAAACACAGTTTGAAAGGGGAGTGATTAGTCAAATATGCATAAATAAAAAGAAAAAATGCAGACTAGGTAAGATAAAGATAGGAGAGAGGAGTTTATCAATGATTTGTTATTGGTTTTGAGCATATTATAATGTTTTTTTGATTATTGAAATATATACAGTTCTGTTTCATATGAGTGTTGAGAACTGTATCCATAAATCTCTTAATGTTGCCCTCAAAGTGCACCAGATTGATGCATTCAACTTCAATTTAAAGAAACAAATCTTCCCGGGGTGCATGCCCCCGGACCCCCCTAGAGGATGTCAGGTAATCACAAATAAAACAGGTTCACATGGATAGGATACTAGATAAGTGTGCACACTCATTATATACACTACACATTTTTCTTGGATTTGTTAACTATAGTCCCTAATATATTTGTAGAAAGGCAGGAAATGGAATTAAATTGAGAAAATATTTCATTGCGGAGGACCCCCTGTTTTGTGTCCCCCCCCACTTCTCAAACCAAAGTTACACCCTTGTTTCAAATAACAAACCTACATTAGTCTCCCACACTGTGTCAAGCATGTGGATGTTGGTCTAATTCTAGCAATTATGTGGTTATTTTTCTTTTAGACCGCAACCAGCTTCAAGACATTCATAGACAACTGGAATATTCAAACAGGAATTTGGCTCAAAGCGTAAGTCCTGCAAATGTGAACTTCAATACTCATGCCTGCAGTCAGAAAACATTTACTCAGCTTAGATCTCACAGACATTTTTGAATGTGTGATTCCTCCCATCTCCTCAGGGTGTGTTATGACCGAGCCCCCAGGCACAGGTTGGCGTTGACCTTCATCCTGTCGGCCCTGTGGCACGGTGTTTATCCTGGGTATTATTTCACCTTCATCACTGCCATCCCCATCACCATGGCAGCTAGAGCTGTAAGTTCTCTATCTCCTCTGGAAAAAATGAAATCATAAATAAAAAGTAAATAAATCCTCGAACACACAACTGCAAGGAACGTTTCTATCATTTGTATTTGATGAAAAAACTAATATTATTATTATTATTTACTCTTCTTGATAGTATTAGAGCAGTTCTCGAAATGTGTATCTGTCAGAAATTGGTTTATACACCTGTATTTAACTGTAAGAAAGGGCTTGAATTGTACTTTCCTGCATGTGCGGTTAGGATTGATGGACCAGCTTCATCTGAGGTTAAACAAAAAAAGTATACCAGGCTGACATGTTGATGAAAGTTATACCAAAGCTAAATGCAAGGAAGGAATATTTGTCTTTTTTTAAGGAAGGTAATACAGTTTTGTCATGTAACTTCATTGGGTTAGTTGAAATGACATCAACAGCATTGCTTAAATACACTAATCATATCATGGATGTGAAAACAGTGATTTATCTCTCTCTGTTAATCTGTCCCTCCCCACCAGGTACGGAAGTCTGTCCGCCAACACATGCTGAGCTCCAGAGGCTTGAAGCTGGGATACGACCTCTTCACCTGGGCAGCCACCCAGCTGGCCATCTGCTACACTGTGATACCTTTCCTGCTCCTAGCAGTAGAGTCCACTTTGGTTTATTACAGGTAGGTTCAACTCATCTGTAGTCCTCTTATTGTCTCAATAAGACTCATACTTGCTGTATGCATGTGGCCATATAGGTCAGCGTGACATCAATTCTGTCATCTGTCCACATTTACAAAGGTCAGCACAGACTGTATGTAATTCAAGCACCAGCTGTGTATGTGACAAGTACTGGTGATGATGTTACTTGTTTATGCCCCTCCTCTCTTACAACAAACAAAAGAGCCTTTTTCTCCTCATGTTTTCTACTATTCATGTGAAGAGTGCATTCAAATGTCAGACATTGGAGAAAAATACCCATCAGAAATTCCCAAGGAAAAATCTGACATCTTTAAAAGTATTTTATGCCCAATAAACCTTAAAGATATTCAGTTAACTATCATAGAAGACTAAGGAAACCAGCATATACACATTTCAGAAGTTGCCATTCATAATAATGAAAATAGCTCCTCATACATTTGTTGTCAATCATCTTATTGTTGCAGCTAGTATTCCTGCCTCTAATTGCCTTTAGCAACACAAAGTATATAAAGACTTGCTCTTGTTATGCCTGTGACGTTTTCTTACTGAGCTGAAGTTCATTCAGGACATAAGTACTGTCATATTGTGTCTTCTCTCCTAGGTCTATGTATTTCCATGTTCACATCATCAGCATTCTGGCTGTGCTCGCCCTGCATCAGAAACACAAACCCAGTGAACTCTCTGCCACCAACAACAAATGTTCCTCGTCCTCTTCCTCCTCCTCGTCTCCGTGCCCAGCACAGTGCCAGCCTATTCACTCCAACAACAACAACAAAGTGGACTAAAAAGCCCTTCTTCATTTTCTCTTACCGGGCTCCCAGTCAAGAGGTGTTCTCTCAAAGACAAGTGAATATCCCCAAAGTGCATTCAGCAATCTCAAAGTGGGAGAACATCATTTATTTGATGGGACAACACAGAGCTGATAAAGAAGACCTTGATGAAAACGCGATGAATCACATATGGCACTGGAGAGACTGTCATATTGTAATATCAACACCACCACCACCAGGACACTGACCTCCTCCACCTGCATCCCCGAACCGCCCCTGCCTCCCCCCCCCCCATGCCCATCTCAACACCAGCCTGCCTCCTCCAGCAACAATGCAACAGTGTGAAGAGAGAAAGGGAGCTCACTTTCTTCCCAGTCCTCTATCTGCACTGTCCTGCCCATTGGTGGGATCTTAGCCAGCACAGTAGGAGAGCTACAGGACACACACACACACACACACACACACACACACACACACACACACACACACACACACACACACACACACCACACACACACACACACACACACACACACACACACACACACACACACACACACACAACACACACACACACACACAGAGACACACACACACACACACACACACACACACAGAGACACACACACACACACACACACACACACACACACACACACACACCACACACACACACACAGAGAGACACACACAGAGACACACACACACACACACACACACACACAGAGACACACACACACACACCACACACAGAGACACAACACACACACACACACACACACAACACACACACACACACACACACACACAGAGGACACACACACAGAGACACACACAACACACACACACACAGACACACACACACACACACACACACACACACACACACACACACACACACACACACACACACACACACTGAAACACCAATATGCACATACTCTCTTCGAAGCGCTCATACTTTGTCACACTCTGATGGCATACAATGGCTGCTCTTGTGTGGCTACAACAAAAGAGCATACCAAGAAGAGTGAGAGCCCTGGTGTGTGTGTGTGTGTGTGTGTGTGTGTGTGTGTGTGTGTGTGTGTGTGTGTGTGTGTGTGTGTGTGTGTGTGTGTGTGTGTGTGTGTGTGTGTGTGTGTGTGTGTGTGTGTGTGTGTGTGTGTGTGTGTGTGTCTGTGTGTGTCTCTGTGTGTCTCTGTGTGTCTCTGTGTGTGTGTGTGTGTGTGTGTGTGTGTGTGTGTGTGTGTGTGTGTGTGTGTGTGTGTGTGTGTGTGTTTCTCTCACTGATAGTTTTTTACTCTGAGTGGAACAACACTTGAAATACCAATAAGACCATGATGCAGCTCTCAAAGTGTCCAGTGAAACTACTAATGAAGTCTTTGAGTGCAGGGTGGCAGCTCCTCCAGGAGAGGAGACACGTCCTTTCTGTAGAAAATAGTATTTTGTCATACATTTTGTCATATAGAGATTTGTAAACATCAAAGAAGAACCTTTGATGGTTTAGCATTGCACCATTGTAACACGTTAAGAAATGGTGCAATGTATGAGCTAATGAGATCATTTCATGAAAATATTCAAACCACCATAAGATATCTATTTTTTTCTCAAGCAATAGGTAATTTAATCATCACATACTTATTCTTAATGTGTTACTCTATCATGTAAATGGTGCTGGATACCTGATATCATGAAGAAGAGTACATTAACAAAGAGCTGGTAAAACTGAGAAGAAATACATTTCAAAGCTCTCTTTTGGGGATCTTAGCATTGCACACTAAAATAACTGATTTCAATCAAATGTATCTCTTCTCAGCAAGACCATGGTGTTTGTAAGGAAGAACACATTTTGTAAACTAGATTTACAGAGCGTACTGCAGCTGCAGGGTGATTTAACAGAGACATCTGCTGGTGGTTTGTACCGTCTGAACTCTGCTGAATGAAGCCTTAAAGTGAGCCAATTTAAACTGACGGACACTGCAGCGTTTCCCAATGCAACTTCATACCAACTACCAACAGAAAGCATCTTTTTATACTGATTTTACAATTTCTCTCCACAATTCACAATGTCTTCTCTTCACTAGATGTTTCTTTTGCACAATCGAAGTTGATGAATCAGAAGGTGTTGCTTATGATTAGACATGAGCTTAGTATGGTGAAAACAAACATACACTCATGTTTTAAATTACAAGATATTATTGTTATTTTTCGATATCAAAAGGTTATAACTCCAGAGGTTTGGGAGCATTGGGAGTTTAGAAGGTGGCACAGTGGCTTGGTTATTAATGGTCTTACCTGCTGCAGGCTAGCATGTTAGCATTTAACTACATTTATGGGGGGGGTTGATTGTGATAAGGTGTGCTAACAATGCTAACAAGTTGCAATGCAATAATATTAGTTTTTCTTGCATCTCAGTGCCTGGGTAAAACAAATGACAATACACTTGGAAATGTCAGACTGTTCCTTTAAGTGCATTATATAAGATTCCTTAATGAACATTTTCTTTCTCTGTGTATAGCAGGTGAAGTTGAACAGTATGTTAATGTGTTTAATCATGTTAGAAACACAATCTGAATGCATTGTATTACCTGGTTTGACATTTTATCTCAAAATGTGGGTTTGTTTACTGGTTAGTGAGGAAATGTGTATTTGCCTGGTTTGGCTTAGTTTGCATATTTTACTCAACTGTCTCACACGGGGGGATTTAAGGGGTACAAAACAGGTGAATTAATTTCAACTTTTGTGAGTCTCCCATGGCAAATTAGAAGAAATCTCAAAGTTCCCGAAGTAATGAGTGAATGCTAATATTTCATTTTGGTTCTTTTTAACTGCACATTAGAACCTCTGTTGGAGTTAATGAAATGCCAGTAATGACTGCTCGGGACCTTTGCAAGAGGCTGGCAGTTATAAACATTTAGAACATCTAAATGCCTAGGTAATACAGTTTGTTTTCACATCAGCCACCTAGAGTAAACTCCTCAAGAGCTGTGTGCTGAAAAGCCTGAAAACTCTTCCCAAGTATGGTTTTGCTATAACATAACATTGTTTTTATGAAACAAGCCATTATTTACTAATATGAAACCTTTAAATGTGTTGTTTTTATCACTGTGATGTCCACGCCACTGTAAAGTTTGCATGTGTTTTAGTTCAGGTAAAATGAGTGAAATGACTTGTCAGAATGAGCAGCTAATTGAAAGACTAAATACTGATTATTACGGTATTTGTGTATGTTATTTTACAGATGTATGCATGATCAAATAGACTGACGGTAAGATTGTGTTTTCCTGCATTTTAGCATTGTTTGAATGGAGGAAAGAGTAAGTGGTATTAAAAGATTTGAGTAACAAATAAAGCTTGATTGAAACAGTTTTAATTGTCTCATTTAAAACACAATTTAGTTACATAATAAATGATAATACAGAATGACAAACGATTTATATGTTGAATTCTTATTCTTATTATTAAGAGGCATGGCAGGGCGGAATCTCTTTTAGAAACAAAGAAGGAAGGAAACCTATAATTGATTCTCCCTCTCCCCATAGCCTCATATTGTCTCAAAAAAATGGGGTGATACTGTATGACTATCAGCGTAGTTCCTTTCCTAAGAACACATTATATTAACATCAACATTTAGTACACAGGTGGGATTCTGCAGGGACTTAGTATATGGATTACATATATGAAACTATTTTCTATACTTTACCAACCTAAACATACATATTCTCTACAGATACCTTTCTGGAGCTGAAGCAGGGAGATACACTTTACATAGTTTTGCCAGGAAGGAAAAGCTCATTTTATTTCTATTGGATTCATTTTCTTTACAAAATAAACAATATCATTTTAACTGTTCGGTGCATGGAAGTCCATTTATTTGTAAATGACTTGCCGCGTTGAAGACCAAATGTGTGCTTATGTTTTTGCTCCTTTTTAATATGCAGTTTAGATGTACTACTCATCACAAGTCAATATGTATTTTTCATTGATTCAAATCAATGAATCCAATATCCAAAGGACGGTGTTAAATAAAGATGTGCCGAATATCTCACCTGCATCAGGTTGAATACGAATTGCTTTCAGGTACTACACACCGTGAAAACAAAACAACACATGTACTAATATGTTTTTATATCAACAAGTGTAATTGAAGTTGTTTATAATAGCAGACAACTTAAAGAACAAATAAGTATCATACATTCATGATATAAAACAACATGCATAACATAAGGTCCTTAAGTCCTTCATAATGCAGTCACGACTTAGAACACATTGCATTTCACGCAGGAAACCCGTGAAGAAAGGTTGAATGTGTTTTTCAGTCATTTGATTTAACATTCTCCCCGTTTAACAACGATAACATTACATACATTTTAGATAATAACTAAGAGCTCCAGGAACTTTAGATTTGTCTCTCCCCTAATGACAAAAAGAGGTGCTTGCAGCAAAAAAGAGTCTACGAAAGATACTAGCTTCCAAATTACATTATTTTCACACAGAATATATTTTCTTACCACGACTGACCATGCACAAAAGACCGTCTTAAAGCACTGAGACAGGCCATTTAATGATCTGATGCAAGGAGGCAAATTGCTACTGTTATTTGAAACTATTACTATAATCACATCCTGCTTATCAAGAAGAGGTTTCTCATCACATTCGGCTCCAAAAAAAGCCACATGATGTCCAAATATCCATGCTGCAAATCTCTGCAAGGATACAAACATCTGTTTATCATTGGCTGTCTAAAATGGAAATCACTTCATGCTTTTATCCTGTTTAGTCAGCCCTCAAATATGTATTTTAAGTTTAAAAAAAACAAACATTTGTTTTGCATACCAAGTTTATTGTGTTTTATCACCGTGATTTGACTACTTTATACGTTTGTATTTGACTGTCTTTTTATGATTCTTACGCAGTAAACATGTACACTTTTTGTTCTTTTATTAGCAGTGCATGCAGGGTGGAAATCAAGCAATCAGATCAAAAATCCTACATACATATCTTCAGTTATTTTCTTCATTGTTATCACTGTTAAGGATCACTGTTACCCACATAATAAATAACTATAACATCTCAGACAGGGTCAGTCTTCAGAGCATCTTCAGAAAGTTAGTTATGGACCGTACCATAGAGAGGGGTCGGTTGAATTAGAAGTCCTTCCTGTTGTATAATGCTGCTGAAAATACACTAACAAAGGTGTTTGTGCTGACAAATATTTTCTATTCTGAAACATTTTCCTTTCAGATCAAGAGAAGTGAGAACATTTTATGA